CGAGCGAGTGATTTGGCCAGCGTCATTTCGTTTAGCTCGACGAAGGGGATGCCAGCGTCGGATGCGATGGTCAGTCCAGCCTTGGTCCAACCAGTACTGCATCGTTTCGGCGGGCATGTACTGACGAACCAATTCAGATTGGTTCCAACCCTCTAAACGCTGTGTTGGCCTTCTGGATATTCTTCTTCTCGATGTTGATCGCCTTGAGGCGGGTTTCCCCGCGGGCGTTCCCTCCTTGGGGGGGCGTGCGCCCATGGCGCCTTCCCCGGCGGGCCACTTGAAGTTCCCGCCTCGGGGGGGTGAGGGCGCTGAACGCCGCTCGAGCGAGCGCCGCTGGAGCGGGCTCGCACCCGATCCGGCGAGGAATTAGGAGCTCGACCGCGACGTACCATGCGGTCATCATCTTCCCGTTCGTCGTCGTCGTCGTCGCCCATTGGCGAAATACTTGGATCGTCGTGATATTTCTTCTTCCTTATGAAGGGCACGCTGCTCGGCGATTGCCTCGGACTGCTAGCGGGCCGGTCTGACGCAACAAAAGTATACGGACATTCTTGATTATGTCCAAGCTCATATTGAACACGTTCAGATAGGTCACCAGCGTCACGGGCTTCCCCGCAAAGAATCATCATCGATTGATTCCGCGTTTGTCGGACTTCCAATCGCCCGAGGATAAAGCGCGGCATGTACTTCTCCATCCGCTGCAGGAATGGTGGATCCAGAGTCCGCGGGTGCCCCCGCCATGCCGACATCGCCTTCGACGGGCGCGTGGAAGTGCTCGACGAACTCGATATCTGCAGGTTGCCTCGCGATGGGTATACCCAGCCACTCTGCCAAGTCGATATCGCTGTGGCCTGTGAACACCTCTTCGAACAGGTCGCCAGCGTAATTCTCGAGGTTCATGCTGGCGCACAAATACCTGGCAGCCATGAAATGAATGACTGCGGCTGAGCCGCCAGCGACTCCCAGTCGACGCGCTGCATGTCGGAGTCCGATCGGGCCAAATGTATTGACGGACCCCTACCTCTTCCATCGTCTCGGGGACATTTGCGTCGGAAATGTTGTGCGCTGTGGCGCGTGTCGCACTCCATGGTTTTACCGTTGGCATCCTCTGGATTCCCTCGTCGCCCTTTCCCTTTACCTGATGTGTGCCTACGGTTCCTGCCAGCACCTAAAAACATGTCTTCGTACTGGGGCCCAGTGAAAGATGCTAGGAATGTTAGTATGCCTCTACCTTATAGTCGCCGACGCTTACCTTTGCCTTTACTTCGACCCGTGCCTTCTTCCTTTGGGTGTCCGCCGTGCCATGCGCCTTGCCCTTCTGACTGGTTTCTTCATGAATCTCCGCCAACGACGCTTGTGTCTTTGATGGCAGAAAAATAACCACTGAGCTTGCTGCTCTTCAGTAAGGTATGTAGGCATATCAGAGTAGTCCAGCGCGGTAGTTTCACCATCAGAAGACGCATCGGCATCGGCGCCGGAGGCGAGGTCGGACTCGGCGGGTTGCCCCGCAGAGACGAGTAGGGTCATAACTTGCACAAGGGAAACAGCGTCGGGTGGTCCCTAGATCTGGCCCAGGGGTCTTGAGACCCCGAGGCCGTGCCGCCATTCTGGGCCAATAATGTAATGGTCTGGTCGGCGGCATATCATCGTTCCCGACGTTGTTAGCAGGTTGCCCCGCGTTGGCCTCTGTATGGAAGGTCTCGGTTCGGTGACCGTGACTAAAAATACCACCGATATTGCCAGGGGTTCTCTCAGCTATGTGACTGGGTAGTCGAAGCCAATCTGGCGCCAATCTGGCAGGCCCAACCTGGCAAACGGGGGCAATCTGGCGAGGGGGCCAACGCGAATCCAGTCTGGCGAATCACCCAAATCGTCCAGCTTGGCCAGGCCAGATTGGCCCTTGGGGCCCAATCCAATCTGACAGTTTGGCCTTCGACTACCCAGTGTGAGCATATGACCTCATACGTTCGAGGAGAACATCAAATTGTGCTTGGTCCCTCGGCATATGGTGGTTCAGAGGCTGCAGGAGTTGCTGTGCCCGCGACGTCCCCGCTCCCAGAGCTCTGAATAATATTACTGCTAATATCCGGAAGTTGGGGATGTTGAAGCCGGCGGCTTCTGCTTCGTAGCGGGCTACCTCGAACCGTGCTAACGACTGGTCGATTAGTTCTCCCGCGTGGACACGAAAGTCGATGAGAGCCGTGCCAGAGTTGAGTGGGCGTTCCTCTTCTTGGTTCTCGAACTTCGCACTTAAGAGTAACATATTGTAGGTGACGCCGTCGGTGTGGAGACCCCCCATATCGACACCAAAATTGATGACTGCTGGGGGGGCTCTCATGGCTATGGTCCGCGCGAGCCTTCCAAGTCCGCGCTGGAGTGCGGCGGCCGTTGGGAGGGCGTCATGTTACCTGTGGTCACGTTGATCCACGCGTGTACCTCGCGGACAAACTCGCGAAATGGTACTTGACCGGCAGGATCCCAATGAGGGCCGGTCGTCCTAATGTCGTCTCCGCCCCACATATGTCCCACCGCACATCCAAAAGCGACCCATATGAACCCAAAGGTAATAACCCCAATCCAACGGCCTCGTAGGTCGTAGTCGGGTGTAGTCGGTGGAGACTCGTGTTTTGTCGTCGTAAGTATGCGTGGGGTCGGAGGCGGCAGTATATCATATCGCATGTTTACATGCACTATACCTTCGAAGAAATTTCCAATTTGAGTAGGTGGGTGGACTTCAGGAGTGCAAGAGCGCAGGGGTGTAGAATATGAGTAAGAGACCTCCGCTGGGGCAGAGGTGTCGCTGCAAGCTTCCTTGCGGTACTGCGTATCTATGTACACTCCTCCGCGCAATGCCACTGCACCCTGATGTTCCACCGTAACTGTAGTCCACCAGATAGTGCCGTGGATGGTGAGGAGTAGAGCTAGAGCTGACCACCATAGGCCAGCTCCGCTACCAAGTTTGAAGGGGGCTGGGAGGCCCCGCCAACAGCTTCGCCTCAGGCGCAGCCGAGCTCCAGCTCGGCTGTATCGTAGTAGCGATAGTCCCAATTCAAGAGGGGATGCCATGTCAAGTAAAAGGGGATGCCTTTTAGCATCAATAGCGATAGTGTGCCTCGCGGTGAGGCACAATCAAATCTGGGCGGCTGGCCGCTTTGAGCCAAGGCGGCCGCGGGCGCACGCTCGCTTCCACTCCTGACGTCCCCCAGCTCGCTTTAGAGTTAAACCGCCTGCAAGACGCCCCCGAAGGCCTCCAAGAGACCTTCCAAGAGGGTCCACAGAGGCTGAAAGTAGTGATTTTGCTACAATGGTTGAAGGTTTTTGGCGTTCTCGCCGCGAGGGGGGCTTACCGGCGCTCCAAGACGGCCCAAGAAGTTTTCAGGATCGCCCCAACACGGCCCAAGAGGCCTCCAACAGCGCCCAGAACGGTCCCAGAGGGCTCCAAGATAGCCCCAGAAGATTCCAAGATGGCCAAGGAGGCTCCCAAGACGGTTCCAAGAGCGGGCCCAGACGAGGGACTTGAACGGGCATGTCAAGCTCTAGGTGCAGAGAGGTCCCCTGGAAGCCGGGAGAGGCCCCCAAGAAGCCCCCAAGAGGCCCCCGAGAGGCCCCAAGAGACCCCCAAAAGGCCGCAAGAGATAACAGGAGCATTCGTTCAATTCGGCCAATCTGGCCTCCCGCGCAGCATGTCGAAATCCTTCGCGCGCCCTTGCGCGCGTGGTACGGTGAGGGCACGATCCGCGTCAAATCATGTAGTGCGGGCCACTCTCGCGCGTCGGCCGCGCGCGCGTCGAACTCGTCACCGTCGTCATCGTCGTCGGCGTGAACACCAACGGCGCCGTCACTGGCCTTCCCGTCGTCGTTGTCACCATCATCACCGTCATCGGCGTCTACCGTTGTCGACGTTGCCATGATACCGCGCCCGTCGCCGGTTCGCATTGAAGCGCCTGCTGGGAAAACCCCGGCGGTCAGCGCCACAGCGGCCGCGGCGGTCACGCCAAAGTAGCCGGCCGCTGCGCACGCGAACATGCGCGGGCTAGCGCGGCCGCAGAGATGCACCAGCCAACGCCAAACAGTCATCGCAATCGCTGCCGCATGGATTTTGCATACCAAAATTGCGGGTGGGTGGGTGGGATAATTGCGCGAGCACTGGAGTTGAAAACTTCAAGTTCGGCAGGGTGAATTGCACTACGTAAGCCACACCACGTAGATGGGCCAACATAACACAACAGGTTAAACCACATTGGTTGCACCACATACATTGCACACAACACGTTGCACAACACAGATTGACCTTGCACACCATATAATGCATAACATTGCACGACATCGCAATCACCACATCTGTTGCTAGAAACGCATCGTTTGGGGCCCACGCTAGCTAGCATTCGACAGGTTTCGCCTCTACTCTTTCCAGCGGGATTCGGAAGACGGAGACAGCCCAAAGGAAACAGACAGGTTGGCAAGAAGACGTCATCGTAGCCCGAATCGGGTCGACAAGTACCCCGAGATGCCTGCCATGATGCCCCGATGGGCCTCCAGGATACCAGTCGGCGGCGTTCGGCCCTCGGAGGCCGCCATTGGCAATCGACGAGTCCTGCTGGGCCCAAGAAAGCAACGAAACCACGACCGAAGGATTGCAACAACAAAACCCTGGATTGCAAACAAAACCCAAGGATTGCAAAAAAAAACCCTGGATTGCAAACAAATCCTTCGGTTTTTTTTTTTTTTTTTTTTTTTTTTTTTGCAATCCTGTGTTTTTTTGTTGCAATCCTTCGCCGAAGAGCTTCCAACGCCAATCTCGCGATGGCCTCCCCTGGCAGGCCTCGGCGGCAACGGCGGGGCGCCACGGCGGCAGCGGGCGGGCGGCGAGCAGGAGAGAGGAAGGACGACGGCGAGGGGCGCAGGGTCCGGGTGGGGAGGGCGGGTGGGGCGGGCGCGAGGGACGACTGTGTGCAGGGGCGGTGGGGACAGCAACGAGACCCCTCGCGCGCTAGGCCAGCCTGGACTTGCGCCATAAGGTCCCTTGGCATCGCGGACGGCGACAGCCCAGCCTGGCAGCCGAATCGACAAGCACAAGTGCCCGATCCGTCTCCTCCTGTTCCTACTGCTGCTGCTGCTGCTCTTCCTTCTCATTCTGTGCCTGCCATCCTTCTGTTCGTCCTGGTCGCTCTCGCCCGCCCTCCATATATCCAGTTCTCGGGTCCCTCTCCCAAAGCAGCACGAGCAGGCAGAGAAATAAACGGGTGAGGCTGAGGAGGAACAAACCGAGGAAAGAACACGCCGACAGGCCACCCCCAGAACACACGCACACACAACACACAACACCCAACACAACAAACACAACACACACAACACCACACAAAACCACGCAACACACAACACACACAACCCACAACACACACTCACGCACATCGCACGCACACAAACACACACACACACACACGCAACAACAAAAAACACCACCACCACCACCCGTAATGAGGCGAAACCGTTGTAATGTTGACGGCCCGGGCTCCAGGCCACGACACATCCTCCCACCCTCCGCTTGCTGTTGATTATCACTCTTCTCCTTCTCTTCCTCCTCGTCCTCATCCTTCCTATTTCTTTTCCTTCTTGTCCATCCTTCGTACTCTCTCTTTTCATACTTATCCCCGTGCTCTCCCTCCCATTCCGTTTCCTCATCATCATCCCCCTCCTCCTCCTTTTCCTCCTCCACCTCCACCTCCACCTCCACCTCTTCTTCCCCCTACTCCTTCCCCTCCCGTCCTCCTCCTTGTCGCTCTCACCCTCATCCGCCTCCTCCTCCTCCTCCTCTTCCTCCTCCTCCTCCTCCTCCTCCTCCTCCTCCTCCTCCTCCTCCTCCTCCCACCCCCAGCCCGCAGGAAACACGCTTCACCGCCGGTGCGGCCATCGTTGGACGGTCGCGTCGGCTTCCTGCTGTTGCCAGAGCGCCCCAGTCCTCCCAGGGCCGCCAAGAGCAGCAGGGAGAGGACGGACCCAAAGAAAAAAAACGATACGCCACTCCCTTCTGGACCTGCGAAAGCGAGGGCGTCCAAGAGTTTCTTGGGGGCACAGAACCAGAATGCATGCGATCAAGGCCGTGGGTGGAGACGAACATCGTCTGTCCGCCGCTCTGGGCAGAGACAGTGGCTGCTTCAAGACGTGGAAAGCCGCTGTACGACAGTATGCTGTTTCACTCTGACGAATCGCACTGTTGCCGATGTGCCGTCATGGCACGGCTTCTGCGTACGTGCTTCTGGACCTGCCGCAGACACAAGTGCGCCCTCCCTTCTGGACCTGCCGCAGACACAAGTGCGCCCTCCCTTCTGGACCTGCCGCAGACACAAGGTGCGCCCTCCCTTCTGGACCCGCCGCAGACACAAGGTGCGCCACTCCCTTCCGGACCTGCCGCAGACACAATGTGGGCCCGCCGCGGGCTCGGCACCCGGGAGAGCCGGAGATGGCGAGAGCCACAGCCAGAGCAAAGCTGAAGGGGCCCCAGGACACACAAATAAATACACACAAATAAAAATATTCCCCATATTTTCCCATATTTTCAGGGTTTCTGTCTTCCCCCCCACTTCCCATATTTTCCCAGATTTTCCGGGGAATCGAGGATTAATTGTGTTTGTGTGTTTCTTTTCCTCCTGAAAAACATGTGTGTAGCTCCTCGCCAATGCCGCCGATCAGATAAGGTCTTCCGGCAAGGAGCCACGGCGACCAACGGCTCCCTGGGTAGTCGAAGCCAATCTGGCGCCAATCTGGCAGGCCCAATCTGGCAAGCGGGGGCAATCTGGCAAGGGAGCCAGCGCGAATCCAGTCTGGCGAATCACCCAAATCGTCCAGCTTGGCCAGGCCAGATTGGCCCTTGGGGCCCAATCCAATCTGACAGTCTGGCCTTCGACTACCCAGAGAAGGTCTTCCGGCAAGGAGCCACGGCGACCAACGGCTCCGGGTTGACCTTCCCAGGGCTTGAGAGCAGGTGCCCCAGGCACTTCCAAGCTGGCCTCATCAAGATCAGGACCATCGACTCCATCCAAGGGGACGAAGCTGACCTGGTCATTATCGCGACCACCCGGGCCAATAGCAGCCACACCTGGGGCTTCATTGACGACCGACATTGGCTTAACGTTGCATACACCAGGTCCAAGGACGGCGTAGTCATCGTGGGCAATGGAGCGTTGTTCACCGCGGCCTCGCAGCTACATATCCTGGCCGCCTGGGGCGTGGAGGCGGGCATCTGGATGCAGCTAGCGGAGCCCGGCGCGCAGGCAACAGGCGCGTGCTAATCGAGGGCCCTGGGCTTCGCCTAGCGTCGCTGCGTGGGGCCTCTGTGTCCGACGAGACCACCGCCGACAACTGTGATGCGATGGCAGCGGACGCGACGCTCAAGGCCAGGAGTGGGAAGCTCGCCAAGACACGTGAGCGGCAGCAGCTCGGCTTCGCCACCCTGTTCGATTCCCCCCTTGTCAGACAGCTATAGCTGGGACCCTGCCTGGCGGAGGACTACAGACCGCTGCGGCCGGGCTACTGATGGACCGAAGGTTTGCCCCTGTGCTTTTCTGTGTCACGAGCCTCCACCCGCGCGCATCCGGCCCAGGCGACGTGCCGTGGGACCCGGCGGGCCAACGCAAGAATCTACCAAATCACGACGACATCCTGTGCGACCTGGAGCTGGGTCTTGACCGTGCGAGCTACGTCTACACCGCGACCTGGGCAGTGCCGTTGCACCTGGCAGGCTGGCGACAGAGCGAGGACCTGGGTGCTGCACCGTTGGAGGAGCAGCTCCCACCAGAGCCGAAGCTGAGGGGTGCTACTAACCGATGGCGCAGAAAAGAAAGACTCCGCCCCCCACGGCGCGCCACGGCAGCCACCAGCGTGCTGGAGCCGCTCCACTAGTCACTGTCAGCGCCACACGGGCCAGCCCACTGCCGACCACCTCAGGGCCAGCCAAGGGAACCCGCGGACGGATGGGGACAGCTGAGGAGCCAGCTCACCAAGGGCCCGAAAAGAAGCCCCTCAGCTTTGTCTGGGGCACAAAACTGCTGGCCATCATGCTCATCATGATCCGCGAATCTAGGGTGCTCTTGTACGCCTATGGCAGGCCTGGCCCCACCGGGGATGTGTGGGAGGCCTTCTGCGATCCCTGGAACGAACTGCGGCTGCCCATCCGCGACAGGTTCGTGGCCGACCATGGGGTGCAGTCCAAAGGCTTCAGAACGTTCCACGGCCGGATCGAAGACCTGCTGCGTGCTGCAGGGCGCATGGTTGCGGTGTCCCACCACCAACAAGCGGCCAAGCAGGCGGGCTACCCGACCACTTGGGGGGAGATGGACCTCTGCGGGAACCCGCTCAACCTGGAGGCGCTGAGAGGCGAGGACTGCGCCGCATGTGCCCTGTCGATCGCCCTGACTGGCTCTGACGTTGGACTGCGCGAGCCAGCCGAATTGCGCCGACCGTGGCGTGCATCGGCGGAGGGTTCTCCACCTCAGGGCGCAACCTCCTGGCATATCGATCGCCCAAGCGCCTCGTTGCCTGGGATTGCCCTCGATCCCCCTGGGCTCCGGGGCGACGACGTCCGCTTCGAGACATGCAAGCGCCTGCGGAATGCTGTCATATGGTGCGACGACCGCGGCAAGAGCTGCTGCGCTGAAGCAGGGGCATGGGTTTCTGGTCAAGCCAGACAGCTGTTAGCAGTTAGCAGCCAGCCGAAAGACCGCTCGTCGCTGGGGGGGCGCGCTGCAGGTGGCGCTGAAACCGATGCTGGAAGGACGAGCTTGAAGGGTCCTGGGACACACACATAGATACACACAAATAAAACAATCCCCCATATTTTCGTATATTTTCTGGGTTTTTGTCTGCCCCCCAATTCCCATATTTTCCTATGTTTTCTTGAGAATCGACGATGAATTATGTCTGTGTGTTTTTTCCCCTCCTGAGAGCTGCGCGCCCGCGGACGCGCTGCCCCCAACGACGTCGAGCTCGGCCCCCCTACCTGCGCGACCTGGAAGAGCAAGACCATCATTGGCGGCGCGCACAAGGGGGTGGGGGGAGGGGGGAGGGCTTCTTAGAAGCAGGCTGCTTCTTAGAAGGCGCAGGCCTTACATCTATAGATAAGGCCCGCGCCTTCTAAGAAGCAGGGGTGCTTCTAAGAAGCCCTCCCCCCTCCCCCCACCCCCCTCTGCGCGTGGCTGAAATTAGGCCGTGCACGTCCATGCGAAGCGGGCCTTGCCGCAAGTGTGCCTGGCCCACAGCCCCGCGCGCGCGACCTAGGGGGCCACATGCGAACCCTACCCCTGCCCCCCACGATTTCTGAGGGGGAGGGTGGGGTTCACTTCGCTCCGCAGGCAAGCCCGCAGTTCCCGAGCGCCCTCGGCGCCGCCATTCCCCGGCGCCGCGTCGACGAGGACAGGTTCGGGGGCCCGGCAGTGCAAAACAAGGCACGCGGCCAAGTGCGACGGGCGCCCCCTGCGGCGCCAAACCTGGCATGGGAAGCGGAGCAGGCCCCGCCTGGGACGTACGCCTTCCGTTCGGACCCGCCCGGGCACGCCGCGAACTTCCTCGCCGGCGACCTGGGGCGCGGCCCCCCTGTTTCGCGGATTGGCGGCGCGCGCCTTCCGAGCCAGGGCGTGGAGCGCCAGGTGGTGCCGCGCTCGCTGCCGGGTCTACATCTGGGACGCGCGGCCATCTGGCGGTCGGGCCATCCTAGCGAGGGGCGGGGTGCTGGTCTACCTTGTCAGTGCCATTCTACTGGCGAAGCTTTTGACGACAAAACGCAATTCAAAAAATTAAACGTTTAATCGCAAAATGCTCGGTATAGCGTTGGACCAATCGCGGCTGACTGAACGCGAAAACGCGAGCGCCCGCGCGATGCTCCTCGCTGCAGACTGAAGCCCCGATGGGCACCACGATCACAGCGTTTGGCGCGAAAGGGCGCGGACCGAATTGCCTGCCAATCGCGACGCTGCGATGAGGAACCGCTGCGCCAAAGACAGCGGCAGCGGTGCTACATCGAACAAACACCTTGGAGCAAGTATCATTGCGACAGCGA